ACAGGGTGGTTAGACCTATACTGTATAACAAATATATATTCAGCAACAAATATTAAATGAAATTTGACCTGCAAACTTGTCTGTGGTGGAGTACTAGATTCACTTCACATCTAGGCGATTGCTACTGTATATCAACAGAGGTGACCAAATATTTTAAAAACCTCCTTCAGTCATGAAATGAAATGACCTTGATCTACACATCCATAAGGGCGGGTGACCAGTCTGCGTGCTGGCTGGCAGGACTGTGGCTTTTACGTTACAGCTCTGACAAGGAGATCCAGGCATGAAGTAACCAGGGTCCTTGGCAACCACATGATGAATCACTTCTGTCATTCTTCTGGGATGCAGAGATGATCAAGGAGAAGCAGAGGCACTCAGAGCAAAACACACTTAACCTGCCAAGACGCGGCGCAGGCAGTCCCATTGTTGGGTTCTAAACCCTTGCAAAACCCGCCTGCCGGAGCCCTCTGTTTGGAGCAGGGCAGGGGCAGTGGTCTGGGAGATGGTATTAAAAGTAAAAAGAAAGTGAAAGATTGATTGTCCTTCTTTTTGCCTCTTTTCCTTCTGACCCAGCTGGGGACTGGAGTAAACTTTGCTTATGGAGTAGCTGCTTTTTTTCTGAAGAACATCTCAATGTATTCTCTTACCTTTAACGAGTGAGGTGTTGGCAGACGGAATCTGTAACTGGGTTCTTTTTTCCTCTGGAGCTGGTGTCTGTGACAGGGTTAATGCTGCGTCCATCATGCTGACATGGTTTGTGGGTGGCTGATGTGTGTGTAGGCGTTGCTTGGTAAAAGTTTGTCACTTCAACACAGCTTGATGCTTGTTTTCAAGATTGTAGTGCGATTGCTTTTTTAAAAAAAAGAAGTACTTTTATTTATTCTTCAGCAGTTTTGTTTTTTTTATTTTGATTGACTCAGAAGACACAAAGCTGACTGCATTGCTTAAACTAAAACGTTCATTAGGAAAGACAGCTAGCTGGGTGCTGCTGTGCCTCAGTTACAAAGCTCATGCTTCATACTTGAATGCCTTCTCCCATGAACCTGCCTCGGCCTCCAATGATGTCCAAAGGAACATTTCCTGATGGGCTGAATCTGGCACGCTGTCAGCAGTACTCCACTCTTTATCTATTCCCAGTAGAGAGAGAAGGTAGTCAAGCATTGGATCCTGTCATGTTTTAGAACAGTTAACATCTCTTACAGGCTGTACCAGTCAGCTCCTGAAACCATAGCACTGGGGATGCGCTTTGCTCTGTTGTTGCTAGTTTGTTTTGTGACCCACTTTCTCAGTTTAACCTCGATGGCTGAGCGTCAGACAGCCGCCCTGGCTCAGAGTTCCCCATGCCAGGGAGACGGCTGGCAGCTCAGCTGCAGTCTCTCTCCAGCCTGCTTTGACTCGGGCCACCGGTGGACAGAGACGAGCCCTGTGCTCGGATACCAGGGCACGGGCATCTGAGACAAGACCAGCTGACACTGCGTGCTTGAGAGCTGCGTCCTCGTGTTATTAAATTCAATACATTAATAGTATTCATTCAGATTCCTTGATCGGTTTATTTGTTAGCTGGTGCATAACAACATAAGAGAGGTTAAAAGAAGAGCCCTTCTGACCGTTAGCAGTTACAGTAATTGATCCCAGGATCTTGTCTAGCTGTGTCTTGAAAGAAACCAAGAATTTGGTATCGACAACATGGCTGGTTAGCTTATTCCACAATCCTGCAGTACACCCCTTTGTATTTAGAGGTACCTCGATTTCAGTGCTCTTTCACGTAGTTTTCACTTACAGTATGTCCTCTGGTTCAGGTTTCGCTGTTTATCATGTAGAAGTCTGCTGGGTCGACTTTGTTGGTGCTTTTGGGGATTTTGAACAATTGGGTCCCCTTATAGTCTCTGTTCAAGACCTACAGGGATTCAATTCTACAAGCCTGTCCGTGTAGGGTGTTCCTTTATACCCTCAATTGTATCAGTTTATTCCTCTTTGTTCTGTTTTTTATATAGTGTAAAATAGAATAAAAAGGATAGTGTGTGACAAAGAATAAAGGAAATGAATGGCACTGCTATTAATGCAGTAGTGCTAAATAACTGTTCAATATTTTCAATATGGAAAATGTTGTTGCTCTTGTTGAAGAAATAAAAAATAGGGACAACATATGAATTTCCAATTACAAATTTCTTAAACTTCTGCATACTTTTAAAGAGCTCTACATTTCAATGCTTGCACTGGTGCTGACACCTGCACTGCAAAATAGGAATCGATTTTCCGGATTTCAGAAAAGGCACTGGAAAATATTACTGACCATCTGCCCATTGCTTTCTTCTTTGTCCAGATCGTCTCCTCTGCTTCTACCCTCATTATGCTCATGCTTACAATATCTGACAGCAGTGGTGCCTGCCATGCTTTTTAAAGAAGGAGGGGATTAAAGAGACCTTTGCCTGAACTGCTTTCTGAGGAATCCCTGTGGGTTTCTCCATGGGTGTGCACAAAGTTCAAAAGAGCACATGCTCAGAGTGCTTGTCAGAGTTGGAAACAAGATGCACGCACTACAATAGGTCACTTGACGTTTAATCACTGTTTTAACCGTTTTTCAGGATTTAGATGCTTTACCATAAGTGCTGGCATTCACAACCAGTGACCGTGCCCTATATGTGTACAGTACGTGAAGAAATATGATTGCTGTGCTGGTCTTAAGCACTTTTAACGAGTGTCCATTTGTTAAATGCATCAAAAGCTACAATGTCTGCAATGTAATTCTTTTATTTTAAGAAATAAAATGTCATGCTACTGCGTCATGCCACTGGGGTAGGTATTGGAAATAATTGAGAGGATGCAATCACTGCTGGTATAAAAGCCTGTACTTTTCCAGAATTCATCAGCACCATTGTGCATTGCAGGTACCTGCAGTTTTCCACGAACATGATGGAGTCAGTATATAGACTTACATGATAGATTTATCACATAATACTTCCACTGATAAAAACTACACTTTTTGCCTTGAAGTGGGAATTGCTGCAACATATTATTTTGGTTTCTGGCTTAAATTCAATGATAAGTTGATTCTGCAGTAGTATAATTTTAGACAATAATATTACCTATCAGTTCTGTTCTATCCCCAACATGTGTTAAAATAATCTATATCCCAGTGGTTTTGCACTATTATTTTGGTGAGTGTGAAAAAACAACAGAAATAATTCAGATTTTTTCCCCCATCAATATTGCTCCTTTTTACTGTAAAAAAATCAAAATAACAATGCAAGATTAGGGGTTCTGTCTCCAACCTTTTCATTAGTTATTAAAGGTAATTATTAATAGTAACCTTTAGGAACAATTACAGAAAATTTCTACATGATGCCCTTCTGATATTGATTCTATATTTATGTTACTAAATGTTCAGCTACATGCAATGCATGTAAAATACTAATTTTACAGAAGGCTTTTGTGATACTGTAATAGTTCATTACATACTGTTTTGCTGGATACAGTATATGTTAAGTGTAGAATCATAAATCATTTGACAGATTTCTGGCTCACACATCTCATTAATATGCATATTTATGTAAATGGTTTCATTAGTCTCTTCCTCTTCCTGCTGAGTAGGTTTGGTGGCAATATGTCACTGAGACCTCAAGGAGACACAAAACATCATTAGTCATCTTCTTTACTGGGAGCTTCCTAATAAACCATTACAGTATATACCAGTGTGGTGAAAATGTAGGCTATCAGAACAGAAAGATCCACCAACGTATGTAAACTAATAGTTTCCAGATGACTGAGGAGTTAAAAGTCTGGTAAATTATCCAGACTTTATAATATGAACAAGCAAAGCATGGATCTATCAGGAGATTCTGAGAAGAGTAGGTGTAGTTGATAAAGTGCTGATGATAAGATCACGTTATTGGCCATATACAATTTCTTGCAATAGGAATTCGTCTTTTTGCATACCCCAGCTTGCTCTCCATGAGACACACAGGCACACAGATGGGGAGAGAGAAGCTTGGGGTCAGAGCGCAGGCTCAGACATTTATATGGTGCCCTTGGAGCAGTTGGGGCTAAAGGCCTCACTCAGGGGCTCAACGGACTAGGATTCCTCTGCCGGCCACAGGATTTAAACCGGCAACCTTCCAGCTACAGGTGCAGATCAATGTGAGGTGTAGCAATATTAATTTTATGGATACAATGGACGAGGAATATTTCTTAACACGAGAGTGCTAATTCACAAATGCACTGCAACTGAGTATAGAACACTATTCTAAGATTTTATTACTGAATTCCTGCTTTAATACAGCCAGGCATATCATCATCATTAATGAATTAAAATGGCAACGCAGTACAGATAATTGATAATATTATGATGTGTGTATTATTAGTAAGGTATACGTAATTAATGT